TCTCTGTTTAATAAAGGTTGTAATATCCTCCTTGAGCCTAACATTCAAGAATGTGCGGAAATGTGGAAAAAGGAGCCACTTTGCTCGTTGCTGCCGATCAACCAATGTGAGTGAGGTCGCTCGTGATAAGTCACTCGCAGAGGCAGAACAATCAATTGGCTTTGTGTTTCGGAGGGTGTCAAAAGTTTGCCTAAATAAGTCTTTTGCTTGAAAGCAGAGCTGTACGATTCCAGTTAAACACGGGAGCTACCGTAAACATTCTAAGAAGTAGCTCTGTCCAAGCCAATCAAGGTTGCCTACGCATGTGGAATGATTTCAGACTACATCCAAAGGACTCAGTTTCAATCGAAGCGGCTAACCTGAGACTATAGTTCGTGAGCTTGGAGGAGGAGCTGACGACGGTTCTTGGCATTGATTCGATCCAGTCTCTCGATTTTGTTGTTTATAACCATGATCGTTTCATGTATGCTTGCCAGAGAGAAACCGATCTTAATGACCAGTATCGGTCTGTGTTTGGCCCGGTTTGTGGAAATTTCTGCGGACTACTCAGTAGTCGTTAGATCCTTTGATACGACCGATTGTGTTACCGGCTAGGAGCGTTCCATTTACACTGCGTGCTAACTTCTCCGCTGAATTGAGCAAATTAGTGAGAGTGGGTGTGTTTGCCAAGGTTAAGGAGCCAAACGAATGGGTTGGTCAGGTCACAATCATTAAGAGGAACCTGGAGACCTGCGTGTGTGTATTGACCCGAAACCGTTGAATAAAGCCCTGCATAGTGAGCGCTATTAGCTACCTAGCTCAGAATATCTTTTGTCACTTCTGATCAAGTATTTCAAGCAAGTGGACCTATCTTTCGCAATCTGACGGGTGGTTCTGGATGAGTAATCCAGTTTTCCTGCTTCCTTTGCGACAGCATTTGGACTTTATCGTTGGCTGCGTTTACCAGTCGCTTTGAATGTTCGAGAGAAATTTTCCAGAAACGACTGGTGTAAGCGGTAGATGATTTAGATGGTATAACATGTGTGGTAACCGATATTTTAATCTACTGCTCGACTGAATAAAATCTTGCCGCTAATCTCTACCGTTTCTTGTAGCTTTGTGTGCAAGAGAACATCAAACTTAAAAGCGAGAAAATTGTGCTTCTAAAAGACGAGGGTATTTTAGGGATATGTTAACCCCCCAAAGGATCCGGGTCCATTAAGGAAAAATTAAGGTAATATGAGAGATGCCACCTCCTAACGAGGTGAAGGAAATCCATCGCTTAAACGGCATGGCGAATTAGTTGAGCCGTATAATGCCTAGGCTCGCTGATATCATGACCTAGATCAAGAAGCTAACCCACAAACGAGCAAAGTGGAGTTGGGAGAAGGAAAAGAAAACCGCGTTTACTACTATTAAGCACCTTATCAGAAACGCGCCTATACTTAGATATTACGATCCAGCGGAACCACTGCAAGTAGAGTGTGACAGTAGCCTTGACAAAATAAGTGCTTTTCTCTTAAAGAATAAAAAATCTTTAAATTTTCGCAACCGAGCACTTACTGTTACCAGACAGCGCTATGTGCGGATTGAGAAGAAGATGCTCGCGGTAGTCTATGCATCGGAGAGTTTCAATGTTTATAGTTTTGGAAGGAAGACAACTGTGTTTACTGACCACAAACCACTTGTGTTTATAGCCGGTAAACCGCTACACATCATTCCTCGTCGTCTTCAGCGTATACTGATCCGGCTCCAAAAGTACGACGTGGATATTTTGTACACTCCTGGTGCACAGATATTCATGGCTAACACGTTGTCAATTGCTCATCTACCGGTATCTGAGCAGAATCCAGAAGAGATCGAAGCTGTAAACATAATACAATATCTGGCAGTAACGGAAGGTCTTCTGGATGAAATAAGGCGCCACACAGAGGGAGATGCAAATTTTGCAGCTCTGAAAGGCTTTATTATAAGTGGTTGGCCAAAAACTAAGAAGTATCTGCCAAAGGAACTAACAACCTACTTCAATTCCCGGGATAAACATTCTGTCTATGAGGGTTTACTGTTTAAGAGAAGCCGTATGCTATCTCCGTCCTCGCTCCGAGGCGAAATGCTGAAATACGTTCATCGCGCTCACCTGGGTACCAACTATACCATTAATTGGGCAAAAGAATTGGTCTTTTGACCAGGAATGACGCGTGCCTCCTGAGATCATGTGCGTAATTGTGAGGCATGTCTTTCACAGGACATTCGGCAAACTAGGGGACCAATGCTGATGTACCATGTCCCTGATCGACCGTGGCAGAACGTGACGATGGATTTAGTCTGTAACAACGGGACAGATTACCTACACGAGGTGGATTACTATAGTGATTATTTGAACTCGCTTTACTCGTCACTAAAACTACAACGGCTGTAAGTAACGCCGTCAGATGTCAATTCGTGCGACACTGTATACCGTAGGAGTTGCTTTCCGACAATGGGCCCCAGTTTACCAGCGTTGAGTTCCGGGCGTTCGAACCAAGTTAGAATTTATGCACCAGCAAACCAGCCCGTATCGCAGTCAATCGAATGAAAAGGCGGAGCCGGCACTGGAGCCAACCAAGTGACCGTTATCAAAGGCTAGAGCTACTGGCGAAAAATTGTAACTTATGTTAATGGAGAATCGCAACGCTCCTTCAATGGAAATCGGTTTGAGCCCAGTACAACGCTCGTACAGCCGTAGGACTAGATATCCGACGCCGGCATTTGCTACACTTTTGCAAACAGATTCCCCACAGCATGAGACGTTACAGAGCAGTCTGAAAAATGACCGCTCAGCAACGATGCTACAACCGCGGCGCACGGGTAATGCCTGGGCTAACAGTGAGGGAGGGATTTTGGGTTCAACCAACACCCGATAGTCAAGAGCGGTGAAATAAAGGTGTGGTGACTGCGACGTTCTGTGCCAGGTTATACGAAACAGACGTCGGAGGGAAAAGGTTTGAAGATATAGAGTACAGTTGAGCCGAAACCGGAGGCATCAATGTGGACCGGCGTTAGAGCACAAAATGGCGTGGGGCAAGGGGACAACGGCCACAGATAGAGCGAAGACGGCGGGGAGTGGCAAGGTGTACGGGATGCATGGCAACATGGGGGCACAAGGACTCGAACAAATTGGAGGATGTGATGGGAATATCGGCTCAGAGTGAACAACACACAATTAGTGGGGGACGGGTTTAAAGGATTCGGGTAGTGGGCACGGATTGGCCGACGTTCGTGTGAGGAATTCACCGTTTGTTTAACTGAGTCAAAGGAGGAAGTTCCTCGACTCAGAAAATTCGTTACTCACAGATGTGAACGCGCAACTTATATAGAAGTGTTAGGCTTGACACACATGCTGTAATTATTGCTGAGCTGGCTTTGCCGAATGTAGTTTTGTCCCTGAAGGACTGAGTTCTGCGAGTATGTAGCCTAAGATGATGTATATGGAGACAGGTGTTTTACCGTCTAGCAGCAATGAAGTTGGTGCGTTACTGCACCGATAGCATATGCAGTTGCACTTCGTGGATGTGAGTTCGCTTCCGCAGTTGCGACATCGCGTCGCTACTTCCTGAATATCCGCTCGTTTGTCAGTTATAGTGCTTGTAATGTTGTCAGAAACGAATCTATAAAAACTTTTGATGTCATCGGTGAATACATATAGTTTGCCATGTTAAATGTCATCAGAGACGTGGTTAATATACATCAGAAACGGAAGAGTCCCGAGAACACATCAGTGGGTCAAGTCACTTCTGACTTGTCCACTTTTGGATGCACTGCTTAGTATTTCGATCGCCTGAAAATTCCCAGTATGATAAGATAATATCCAAGAATGCAAACTCAGTAATACCAAAGAATGTACTGTAGCTAGATGCATCGCATGTACTATCCGATCGAATGTTATCTGCATATCAAAGAATATGTTGATCAGGCTCTTACCACGGTCAATTGAACGCGTAAGAAAGTTATAAATTGTAGTTTGCAAATGCCACATAACGGTATCTCAGAAATGCGTGCTTGGATGTGTTGATCAAATTCCAGCACGATAGGAAATCGACGATTTTGACCCTTCGATCTTTCCAACAATGCTTAGTGCGTACGTGAGGCCGCACGCGGAGTACGCTATTCAAGCGTGGCAACCCTGGCTCAAGCACCATCTCACCGCGCTCGATACTGCACAACGTAGGGCAACGAAGAGCGTCAGAGGTTAGAACAACCTCCCCTACCCACTCAGGCTGAAGACCCTAAAAATATACAGTGGACGTTATCGCGTCTAAAGGGCGATCTTATAATGGTGTACCAGATGCTGAGAAACCCCAACCACCCATGCCATTCCCTTCTAATACTCAGTCAAAACACTTCGCTAAGAGGTCACCAGTTTAAATTAGTCACGCAGTACAGCCGCCTGGAATGTCGGCGAAACTATTTCTCCCTTCGAGTGGCACAGCCTTGGAACGCCCTCTCCGAACATGTGATTAATGCTCCCACCCTATCCCTTTTCAAAAAACGCCTTGACGATACCCTGTCACATTTACACTACGTGCTATAGCTCATGACCACCAGATGCTGGCACTAATGCACAACAGACAGGGGATAGTGCTATAACCGTACTCGAGAATGAGTCACGCCAAACGCCTTGCACGAAATTTGATAAACGCTACCATTGTAGAAACTGGATTTCTGTATCCTGTAGACCCATGATAGTTGCACACGAGTAAGCGTTGTCCTTGCTATCCTTTTATTTTTCTCGCCCATGATGTGAACAATAACCACTCCCCAGTCGCTTTGTGTGAGTACATTCTCATTTCAAACTCCCTTTATATGACAGTGCAGTTACATCTGTAAGCGCCCGAACTGACGACTCCATTATCCCTTCGCTATCTTTTTTTGTCACGCTAAACACCTTACGGGTCATGTCAAGCACCTGCTTTTTTACCCGTTATAAATCATTGTTCACTGTTCATTTTGGTTTTTATTACCCTCTCCATTTTTACAAACAGAATGAAGATATGCCTGAGCTGCCCATAGCTGGTTTGCATTCAACGTCGACCACTTTTATCCCTTAGTGTAACCACTGCATATTTCCACGCATCTGGAACAACTCCAGAGTTTATGGATAAAGTAAAGCTACTTTTCATCTGTACTGGGATATCAGACTCTGGATTTGAGCACAACAGACGGTATTTTCTCTGGGTCGTAATAAAACCAGAACTAATTTAATTTATCGAAGTTCTCATGTCAGATTGCTCAAATCCAACGGTACTATTCATCAGCATCATCATGCACGTTAGCTAGAGTTGGGAAACACATCAGCTACTGTGCCGCAATACATAAAAAAAGAAAAAAATGCAACAAGTGTAAGTCAGCTGAGCTACCGGTAACGGACAGGCATCCTTCGGGAAAGCTACCAGCGGGCTACCAGGCAACAAAAATTATGATGTAAAAGTATATTATGCTACGAACTGAGATCATGCTTCGAGAGGGAGGCTAAAATTGATAGGGTGGGACAAAGAAACTCACAGCAAGAACGTCGTTGTGCTTGACTCCTAGCCATATCAGCAAATGTATCCAGCCAAAGGTATTCATGCTCTTTCGGACCCCAACCAGGGAGCCGAGACGCTCCGACCGAGGCCAGCTTTGAAGTGAGAGCCTTCATTTCTTTCGACAAATTCATTGATTGACCACCTCTCCTCTTCAATGTAATAATGATAAGAGCAGTACTTTCTTTAGAGATGTTTACCATCAGTAATTTGAACGGATTAGTGAGAAAGGATGAGATGTATTCCCTGAAAACTTCCCACATTTGATCCGGGTTTGCAGGTTGTTTTCAGTTAATGTAATGGAAGGTGTTCCTGGGCTGAAATATTCTGCTCGTTTTCTTTGGTTTATTGTTGGATTCTAAGACTGGTCTCATCTCTGAGAAGCTTTTGGGACCGATTCGTTTCTATGGATGACACTATTTGATTTTAATTAATTAACAGAGTAAAGTTGTTAGTCTTTTTAAATCCATATCGTAGCTTCACCAGTTTTCGTGCTATAAGTGACGGGATGAAGTTATGACTAATCTTGAGGGAAGTATGCCAATGATACAATGAGGAGTAGATATCTAGACACTATGTTACATTTTTGAATGGTATATCAGTTGCTTGTTGTGATCCGGGGGAAAGGAAATAATTATCCCAATCTATGGATTGTAATTTGAATGCAAATGAGCGTTCCAGGTACTGTTGTGATACTCACTAAAACGTAATGTTGCATAATATCGACAAAAAAATCTGAGGGTTGACAAGCCCCACGACAGGGTTTATTTGCATTACACAAGTTCAAAGAACCGAAACGACACTATAGTGAAACCTGCATCTGTGGACCCATCATGATTTGGCAGCGTCCGTATCCGGATTTGCCTGTCACTGTGGCATCCATGGGGACATTCACAGGACGCCTGCGCTTACAGAAGGACCATGGGTGGCTTGCGCTGCACCACTCATAGTTCCACCCACACACCACATATCCGGTGTAAACCCGAAGGAATAAGACCGGGAGGTATGTGAATGGGGGCCACGTTTCATCAACGGAGCCGGCCCACACTCCTTCAACAAGCAGAACGGAAGCATTCCGGCCTAATTGGGAAATCGTACACACCAGACCTACACGAGGCGGTGGCTGGACCGTAGCCCGTTCCACACAGGATGGAACCACTCTTTAAGCCTAGCACCGTCACGAGGACGGTGCACCCTGTCCCCACTAACAACGACCAACTGTCTCCTGGAGCCAGTGTGGAAGAGGTAGTGGGTAATATACAGGTAGGCACCTTGTCAACATTCACACCAAGCGCATCCACACAGGGGAGCTCAAGCAACATCTACTTCTGAAAAGCAAGATTATTCATCACACAGGCAAACATACCACATACGCCGCCTTATTGGCCTGGATTAGTAAATTGAATGGGAACATACTCATGGTGCTTCTATTCCGCACGCAAAAGTGCCTTCTCCGGCACTTGAGAAACCGCCTTTCTGAACAGTCCATGGAATTTGCATCAATCAAATTTGACTTGGATTTGCAACACCTGAAATCAACATGAGTTTGTTATAAACTCACCTTCTTCATTTTCTGATAATGTTATTTTCGGTTTACTCGAATGTCGTTTCATTGCACTTAGTTAGCCGTACAAAAGCGGTATGAGTATTCTCGTCGAATTCATTCGGTATACATATATACATAAATTGTCGTCATCCGTGTCAGACGGCAGTTCGAATACAACATATGCACATGCGTTTCTCCAAACTTAAGTGTGAGCTGTCACAAACTGGATAGAGACGCATTAGACATAGTCATCAATGGTACGACAAACGTGTATGAGTTTCCTTTGGAGGTTAGGCTAACAACCACTTCCGCAGGCATGAATATAACTACCCAATACGAACTGTTGACGTTTTCTTCAACATTTAGACGTGACAGCCTTATATCTTGGGCATCCATATTTGGAGGAATCCGATGTAGCAATAGTGAAGCAACTGCTAGGTAGAATTATGACTAGACTACTGATACAGTGAAATAGTGTGCACTTAGATGTTGCCCTCTACATGTACAGTCTGGTTTGAGCAGCTGACGGGTGAGATCACACAGCATGCGAATGGGATGCAGTGTCCACTTCTGGCTCTCTGTGTCTCCGACCGGTTCGGTCATGTGCTACCCGAGGTATGTGCACCTACTCAAAGAACGTTTGATGCGCAACCTGTCAAACATGCGACTTTCCAAACAGCGTTCGCATTTATTGTGCAAATGTCCAAGTACTCAACCGTTTGTACCTACCGACCTGTACTCTACTGTGGCCATAATCTATTTGCTAACGGTCTATATCGTACGTTTCGGGTGCAGCGATTCAGTGCTCATAAAACCATTGTCGCTATGCGCTGATTAATTTCCGATGCTATATACTAACACACTGACGTACCATTCCCGTTAGATGCAACCTTTTACTTAATCCATCCAAAAGATTGGCCATGTGCAATGCTACTTTTGGTATGCTTCTCTGCACGTCTGCCTTCCATCCGGTGGTGAGTACGTGTGTTTTAATAAGCCCCGGTAAATTCAGTATGGCCGAGGGATAACTGGAACTATAACTATACTCACTCTCATCACTAGCCTGCGGAGTGGAACATGGAATGGCGACATTGTGATAATCGCTAGTCGGTTAATTGTCGGGATTGTTCACTTGACACAGAATTTCCAGGGAAATTTCTCTTCGAATGCATAATCCAATGTGGCCACACGAGGGACAATCGTTGAGTACTGTGTTCCAAATATCAAATATGACATTTCATGCGTACTGTAAACGGCCAAACGATAATAACCTTTCGATTCAAACCTATCCATCGAACTAGAAACGCACAATAATTTGCCACCCTAGCAATGATCCGTAGCAAGCACACAAACCGCTCGGAAACACCGCGCGCAAGTCAATTACGAATGAGCTCATGGATGGTCTGAACCATAATTCTGCGATGCACCGGCTCTCTATGCGTCATGCAAGTTAGCATTGATCAGCTGGTCAAGCTACGGTTATGGTGAGCAATACCATGGAGCTTACATAGGGACGTGAATCGCGGCCGAATAATAATACGAAGAGGAAGATGCCGTAGCTCACTCTCGGTATGTAACCATACTAGACTACGCTTGAGAAGGTAGTAAGAATAACACAGTATAGATCATAATAAGTACAATATCGTAATGGGCAACACATGTGAAGTCATCGCGAAATACAACCGAGTTAAATAAGCATAAAAAGTTATGTTACCTGTGGCTCATCCGTTCTAGGCAAATGCAGCAGAGATACCACATTGCACCGTCAGTAGTTAATCATTCTAAAATGAAACTGTACCCAAGCGCGACTTACATGCGGGATATAGAATAAGGATGACACAAAAAAATGACAGAGATGGCGTAAGCATCTTTCTAAGTTAGCAGGGAAATGGTGCGATTATGTCCACTGCAGGCTATCCGTGCCGTAAGGTAAAACCAGAGCAGATTATAATCGTCTGTTGTCTGAGGTGAGCGAGAATCAAAAGGGAGGTAAAACCACTACGCAGTCCGTCATGTGTTACGATTTATTTCCCCCTGGTCATTCGTTTTGACCGCTAGCATATGTTGACCAATTCATCAGTGTCTAGAATACTACCTATGCCCATGCATTTCGATTCGGATGTCAAAATGTATTGCCGCTGCTCCGGGAATCAACCTTGATGACTTGTCTGAATCTCAGTGCGTTTACCTGAACGCGGCAGCAGTAAAAGGGGGCTTATAGAGACACTTGAGATGGGATACAATGACCTCATATGCAACCCCTAATAAGTCACGGTGTCACACGAGAAGAAATGTAATAAGATCCATCTGTCAAGTGAGAATGTATCGAGACACGAACAGATGTTGGCATGATTTGTACTTTAGGCGAGTCTCATTTAGACATCGAGCCAGCAGATAATGGTGTTACGCGAGTGAAATGACATCAGTCTGTCGGGCTGAAGTGTGGTGCTTATAAGTGTTTCCAAATGCGTTCCACTTAGTCATTCAACGTGAGATCAGTTGACTTACCAAAGGTTCCTGGTTCAAGTTATACTACTGCAGTGTTGCGAACGGGCGTTTGTTCACACTTGTGTATGGACTACCACAAACTGGATGAAGAAATACTAACCCTCATGAACCATAACACTACGTTCGTGTATGAGTTTGGATCGAATAAAAGAATAACAGCCGTAATTCTCTAGTTATAGAAAATCGCACGTAGAATTATGAGTAACCAATACGACTGTCCGTGGTTAGTTTGCGTTTAGATGAGAACCGAAACGACAGCCTTAAGTTTAGTCAGAAGTGTGGGTATCAACAATAGATTGAGAGAGATATGGAACTACGGAAGCAAATGCCATGAGTGTGGTTACCAGGTAGAATGATGCACAACTAAATGTACCGTAAAACACGGATGACTTATGGTTCCTGTGTATTGTACATGCTGTCTTGCTATAAGCGTTAGTAGAAGATAATGTCATACATTTCCTGATGGCCCCCTCGACACTATCACTTC